TTTCTTTTCCTAGGTAATCAAGCATGAGATTTATAGAAAGACAAACAAAGACAAACCTGCTAAGATCCACACCATGAGTCTTCTACCAAGACAACAAGAAGCTAAAATGGTCTCATTCTTTGGATTCCACCCAACCTGAAAAACCTCCTCCCTGTTGTGCATCACAACCAAAATTCAGTTTTAAGATAGAACCTACTAGTGTATGAGAATAGTAAGAACTCACTAATCTACTATCAAACAGTCTAGCTCCTTTCCAAATCCAAGAATATATTATAAAATTTCTGAAGATCAGGGTACAAAAGCTTCATCCCAAGCGGTAGAGGTAAGTAAGCATACAAGGGAAGACTCTTACTTGTGACTATCAAAGGTGTGGAGTGCAGCATTGATCTTTCGTAGATCAAATAATTTAACAGTCTTATCAGTAGAACCCGTTGCAAGAACCCATTCATTAAATGGATTGAAAGCTAAGCAGTTGACCTAGCACATTAATACAAAAAACAATATCAATAAATGCATGAGATCTGAGACTTTATATTGAGCCTTAAATTTCCCACTACAACTGAAATATCAATCCACAAAAATATAATGCAAGATGGATGTAGTAAGCGGAGAATTTTTATGCCACATTTTAAGCATTCAACCTCCAACTTAATATCATTCTGTGTGGAAGAAGCCAATTATTAAGGAAAGTAAATCATGACATATCAACCGAGATGAGTTGTGTCAATAGCACTGTCTTTCATGTCAACCAAGAGATTAACATCTGTAGAACAGTGCACTAATTGCTAAAAAGCAGTAGATACAATTCACCATCCTCCTGATATCAGTCTTTAGAAGCAAGAATGAAACTGGGACACAATAGTTTTTTGTCTTTTTTGTAGCAAAAGAAAGCCAAGGCAATGCTTGTAAATATATCATCCAGTAGGTTAATAACATTAATTAGCAAGCAAAGGAAAAAATAGAACACAATGTGAATCCATTTGTACTTAAGCAATAAGTTAGAACGTCTATAATTACCTCGCTCTGGTGCGCAACCACAGATTGCACAGGTTTACTGACTGATGGGGTGCGCATATCCCATATAAGTAGGTACTGATCATCTCCAACAGAACCAAATAAATATTCATGCCTCAGATGCCATGCTACATCTTCCACAACACCTTCATGAACCTATTTCACCGCGACCCTTGTTAATTTCCAAAAATGTCATGACAGAGTAATGACCCATTAGTCTGAAGGACAAGGAGTAGGGACTTTATCTAAATGAAAGCATTTCAATCAGATTCTTGCAGCTAAGCATTCAATACAGCTAACAGACACATATCCGAGTCACATAATGCTTCCAGTCTGTTTATTTATAAAAAAAAAGCTTCTAGTTTGCGGAAGTGTCTAAATGTAATTTCTTCCTCATAAACTGGAGAATGATTCAATAGTATCAAATATTTTATGTCACCTCCAGTTTTATGGATACTATAACAACACGGAATTCACCATAACACATGAGAAGTTCTGTCTTTTTTTATTCTCCTGAAGGTCATGAACATTAGCTGCTATTAACAAGAACGTACAAGTTGGCTAATTTAATTACTAAAAAATATAGCACGCATGGAGAGAACTAAACCTTAAAAATTTGCATAGCATCAAGAGCCTTATTTTTGGGAGTTGCATTGATGTCCCACAAGCAAATCTGAGCATCATCAGATCCACTAAGCAAATGACCCTGCTTGAACTTACTCCAAGATAAACCATATCCTTCAGTGCTGTGGCCCCTCAACCTCAAGTCAGGAGTGCATGCACCATCTAGAGGAGGCTTAGATGGGTGCTTGCTATAATCGAAAACATAGACTTCTGCACTGACAGTCTTGGTGGCAATAATAAATGGGTTTTGCGGCATGTAACGAGCCCTGTTGACCTCACCATCATGATTTATCTGCTGAATAATTTGTACCTGTAGGTGGAAATATGTGTATTTTATAAAATATAAGCTTCACATTAGTCATGATGATAACAGGATACATGAAATAGAGAAACATAAACTCTCTGGTGTAACATTTCCTATAGGATGGTGGAGGTTTAGATTGAATTTAGTAGGCCTAAGCTAGTTTTGAGAGCAAAAAACACACCATGTAAATATGAAGAAATTTTCTTCTCGGTAAAAATTCTTCTGCTTTTAAGCTTAACATCAGCTTATCTGTTAATATATTTATGGGCTTAAATGAAAGGACATTGCCTACAAAAGCCAAACCCCATATACATGGTTTGTTTCCTCATAATTAATTAGCTATTCCCATCAGCTTATTTTTCTGAGCTAATTTTTAGCGTAAAGCCAAAGTGTAATACTGAAAAGGAAAAGAAGTTACTCCACATTTATATGGTTTATTTCTTTTAAAAACTAGCTCAAAGCTAAAAAATCTAAACCGTATCTATATTGGTCCTCAAATATTCCACATTTACATGGTTTATTTCCTTAAAACTAGTCCAAAGCTAAAAAAAATAAAACAATTCTATGTCCATCTTCAAATACTCCACATTTATTATGGTCTATTTCCGCTAAGAACTAGCTCAAAGTTAAAAAAATCCAAACCTTATCCATGTCCATCCTCACCTACAGCTGATGTTTCATGCTTGTTGCAACTAAAGAAACACAATTACCAAATTATCGACATGTAGAGTTCAAATAAGTATATTGAGGAATTAGGGTTAAACTGATCAAATTGTCTGCCTAAATCTCTAAAGCTCCATTCCTTTTTGCCAAAAGAGAAGAAATTAAAAATCGCAGGAAATCAGAAAGACCTAAAAACAAGAAATTCTTTATGAAATAGAAAAAAAAAAGAAAAAGAAAAAGACCTTGCCGTTTGCGCAGCCAAAGCCGCCGACGTCGGAGCGATCGTCGTCATAATGGCGAGCATCATTCTCAGAATCCTCGAGTGGAAGCTGGACCTGGGCGAGCATGAGGTAATTGGGCTCGTTCTCTGAGGTGTGAGTTCCCAGTATCATCTTCTGGACAGAGTAATCCTTTCCGGGAGGCTCCTCTCTGTCTGGTAACCACTCGACGGTAAGTGAAGGCCACTCGAGGGCATGAGTGATAACCAGATCATAAAGGAAAGGAGTATTCTTCTTCCAAATCTTGTACTCTTCGTTGATCAGCCTCTCCTCTATCTCTCCCCTCATCTCCTCTTCGTCTTTCCCCATTCTACAATCCTCACTTTTCCACTGTATATCGTCCTTTTTCCTCTCGCCCTTGCCCTTAACTCCTGCAGTCGTTAATTTATCAACTACCAATTTACAATTTTCCCCGCTAGCTGTTCTCTTTTAAAATCCCAGGTGGAGTACTTATCTCATTTCTGAACAAGTATTTTCCTTTTCCCGTCAAAGGGTTCGATTTCTAGCAGGATGCCAGAAAACCCTAGCCGATTCCCCCTATTTGCGCTTCTCTATCAATTTTTATTTGTGCAAAAAGGAGTATAAAACTTGTCACTTTTACTACTTTAACCGGATGAATACATTTATCATTATGTTGTTGTATTTTTTTTTCTACTATAAAATCTTTAATTTATTATAAATTATTTAAGAAACAATAGTAGGGAGAGTTTAGATGGCATATGAGGAATTGTGATTAATCGTTATATAATTAAGATAATTTTACAATAACATAAGAATTAAATCATAAAGAAACACAAATAAAAAATAATATTAATGTTCTAAAGATAAAAACTTAGGGAGAAAAAGCTCAATGTATTTATCAATGTGATGAATCATTATGATAATAGAGTGGGATTGTGCATAGATTTTTGAGTTGCAACGCTCATCTTTAGCCTAAATGAGATTTGCAATGTGATTACAATATGTTGATATGTAGTCATGACATCATAAATTAGATTACTTGAAAATATCTTGCGTCCAACGTCCAATCAATAGTACCTCAGCATTTAGTATTGTTCTTAATCTAATATACAATGTGGCAAAAATATGTTGAAATATTACAAGTATAATACAAGTTACATATTCTAAAGTGTCTGACACTCTACCTCTCAATGTGTGCATAAAACAGTGATCATATCATATCAACATATTAAAGTTACCTCGACTCACAAACTTTCTATTAAATTATGCAAATTTGACCAAAATTGACCAATATGTCAAGTAATTGATATGTTATGCACAATAATTACAATTGATAAGGGAAAATGAGATAAAATTTAAGATTTAAATTTATAAGTGGAACTAATTTAGAAAATAACACAACGGGCGTCAAACTCATAAAAACAATTAGTAGAAGGTTAAAATCTTAAAATCAATTTTATTTAGGTACACATTATAAGTTCAAATTCCTTCACCTATTCTTCATTCAGTTTTTTGGGTAAATTGATAAAATCAACAAGTAGCTTGTTTAATTCTTCCCTATTTTTCAAGTGATCAACAAACCAAAAGTTTTCCCTGTTTCTCTCTTGTTCAACTATTACATCCATCTCTTGGTAAAATTTTGACAACTAAAGTTTTCTTATCTATAGATAAAAATGCTTCAAAATGAGATCAATGCGTAAGCAAAAACATTGATACACGCCCCAATTCAAGTTAACAGGTTCCTTTTTCCTATAAATTCCCCTCAAAGTCCTCCAACATCTCTAATACTTGCTCCTCTCAACTTTACTTCACCAAAAAGGTCCAATGATAAAATAAATACTCGTGAGAATAACATATAAATAATGACAATCCCTAACTATTAATTGACCAATAAACACATAGCAATCCATTGAAAGGTAAATTTGTCTTGATTCTCTCAACCCTACTTCCATATAGAAGAAATCATACAATTTCTAGGTTAGAAACAATTCCTAAGAAACTCACATAAAGTCTACCCTAGGTTAGTGAGGATGTTTTATGCAAATTTGACTTGTATATTGGATTATGTTTTGCTAAATAAATTCTCTAGTGTAGAAGTAAACCTAAATGTAGATAATTTTGATAAGAACTATGACAATGATACTTGGCCAAATATTATCCTTGATTTTAGCAAATAAACTATTAGATTAATCACTAGGGCTACTTGTTTCAATATCACAAAGGATGATAGTCAATTCATATATGTTAGATTATTGCAACACTTTTTTAAAACCACTTTTTCCTTAAAATTTAGTAAATTTAACACACTATTTATTATTGAGGAATTTTCCCTATGACACTTGTTAAAAGAAAAAGTAGCATATCTTCTCTACTTAGTGATCAACAAAATGAAAGACAACATAAACGACAGCATGTTATTACTTTTCAAATCTTTAGGTCATACATAGCAAAACTCAAATTGGATCGAAAAGCTTTAAGAAATGAAGAAACCTTATATGTCACCAACACTTGGAAATTTGGTCTTAAAAATTTATAATATATGCAAACAAACCTACTTGAATGATTCTCCAGAAGGGCTAAAAATGAATAGCTCGTGACTCCCAAAAGACATTTGTGTAATTTTCCGTAAGTTAAAAGGAAATAAAGACATGAATTGAATACAAAAGCAGAACAATAGAGTTAGAGTTTACATTCTTTATACAATAATTTAGAATACTCAATAGGGCTACGAGAAT